TTTACAAACTGGTTGTAAATAAAAGAAACAAAAAGTATATTTAAAACTAAATCATACAGAAAGTAAAGAAACATCCGTTTCAAAATATAAGTAAAGTGTCTAAATAGACATTGCGAACATATTGTTAAAATTAAAGAAAAAATAATAAATACCAAAATATAATCCTAGGTCTGACAGCGGCACTAGAAAGAGCCCTCTGTTAGACTACACACTTCACACCAAAGCTCATCATGTTACAGGACTGCTTGGGGCACGGGACCATCGTAAGAACGTTTGAAATAAAAAGGAAATCTCTGCTTTGCAGGGTTAATAAAACGGACCAGCATATTAGCAAGACAGAATTCCATTCTGTAGCTTTCTGTGGCTCTCTTGTTCATCCACGGAAAGAACCCTATATATATTAAAATATGAGTGTTTTGCCAGACAAAGAAAATGCAGGAGCAGCAAATGAAACGACTTACCTCTTCTGAGGGTTTTCTCTGCTACCGGGATCCAGCAACACGTGGAAGAAAGTATCTCTCGGCGTCTCACTTGCCTCAGATTTTGGTCAAAAACCAGGTTCATCCAAAATAAAAGTAACATAAACATTGGCACGGGGGCCCTTGGACAAAACAAAAAGCTCGGAAACTAATTATTACTCAACACTTTTTAAGACAATGCGGAACTAAATCCCAACGGCCATCTTCTTCCAAAAATCAAATCGGAAAGTGACAGTTCGATCATAGAACTGACAAATGTCTAACGAAAAATGTTGCCAACCTATTAAGACCAAAAAGAACTAGTGTTCAGCCAGTTTCTCGTGTCTCATATTTATGGTCAAATATAATTAAAGAAAAATAATTATTATGCAAAATAAAAGAAATGAAATAATAAAATATTAAAATATAACTCTTACTCTATTCCTATGGTTATTTTACAAAATTATGCTGTGCCTGTAGACAGATCAAACGAACGTAGCTATTTGTGAATTGTACTAGACTGGCAACACTAGTTTGGCAACCTTGTTTGTGAGCGGCGCGCCAATTAATGTGTTCTTTGACAGTTTGAAGGATTTGTTGGCGTGTTGTCTTCTCTTTTTAACTATATGCATTCGGCATATAGTCTCACTCGTGTTAGGCTCACTCATCATAATGCGCCACAGACACAGTATACATATGCCGCGTTTAGAATCCACATCAGAAGCATTTTTTACATATCGAACGTTTTTTATCTACATCGGACACATCTGTCCCATTACATTTACGTATACTGAATCACGTGATCAAAGATTTACTACATCTGAGATGCATCCGACGTGGATTTTTAAACGCAGCATTAGGTATACTGTGACACAGTGACGCGATCAGCCAGAGGACAATGATGTACAAAAAAAATATAGATTACACGTATGAAAATAAAAATATTAAATTTATATGTTTATGTTATTTATGTAATATTAAAATAATGTGTTTTTATGAAATGTAAGTGGGTGTTCACTGCACAAATGAACCAATGGAGAAACCGCCCCTGCTCTGTCTATAGTTTGTATTCATTTTCAGCAAAACTTTAAAGTTTTTTAAGTAAAAAAGGTTTATTCAAAATTTACTCAAATTTGGCGCGAAGTAAAAATTATTTTTTTATCTCTATAAAATTTAATTATTAAAAAGAAATGTTTCAATATATTAAAGCAAACAGAAATACGATGCCATACTTACCGAAACTATTGTATAAAAACATTATAACTTATTTAAAATGATCACATAAATGTTTCAACTTGATGTTGCAGACGTAACTTCCCACATATTCGCACCCCCTTAACCAAAAAAACAAAACCTCAAAATTACATCATTATCTCTCCATTTGTATACCATTTATCTTCAATTTCCTAAATTACTAATTACCTTTTATGGTCTCCGAAGAAGATATAACAGCGATTTAAAAACCTGGGAAACAAGAATTTTTTCGTGTAAAAAAAGTAAAACCTAAACGTTTCTTAATGTATGGTAATTGGCACTTTAATGTCAGACTTAGACCACCCAATGTTACTCTCGCAACTTATCTCAAAAAAATCTTGAAATCGCCGAATATCAGAAAACGAAGGTCTCGGTTTTTTTACAGCTGTGATCTTTAAATTAGTTTAAATTTATTTTAAACTACCTATGTTTACGAGGAGTCATTGAAAAGTTAAGAATCTGAAAAACCTTTGTTTACAAAAATAACATAGGGGAAAGTGTTCCACAATGAGACATTTACGTTTCGGTAAGTTGCCAGAGGTTATGATTGAATTTTATAATTTTGTTGTTTCTTGCACATAACATAATAAATAGGGAGTTTTTTAATACAACGGTAATTAAATATGAACGGCTCCCTATATGCGGAAAACTTATTAAAAATAAATTATTACCAATGAAAACTAATTAAATATTAACGGTTTAAAGTCTCTCTCATGTAGACATCTGGTAGTCCATAGCTTCTACAAGAGAGAAACCCTTTCCACGAGCTGTTATAAAGACTAGGGGCTGAAACAGCTCTGATTATCGGCGGGGGGAAGCAAGCGAATACCGCTATCACCCCCTGATAAACGCGAAAATGAATGAAGGGTGCGAGTGCCCCCGGATTTAAATCCAATTTGTTTTATTACCTTGTTAGGTACTAAGGAAATTAAAAGTTCGTATTATCTTTTACTAGTACGGGAAAATATGTACGGTTCGCTAGCACAGGAGGCCAAGCGGTCCGGGAATTATGAAACTCCCTATATACGGAAAATTTATTAAAACCATTTTCCCCTACGAAATTTTTCCATCTGGATTTTTTAAACATTTCGACATTGAATAAAGAATAAAATAAAAGATAGTTTGGAAAAAGAAATCGTTTCTATTTTCATAGACGAACTTTTAATAAAATCTGACATGAAGCCCTCCTAATCGTTGTTTTAAAGTCCAGATTAATAATTCACTTTTCAATTACATCGTATACAGTCTGGTGTTCTTCAAGGTACTACCTTTGGCCCTAATCCTTATTTAATATATACTGCAAACATATTTAACTTTAATTTTAGTAGCTTTTCATCAAGAAAATATTAAGTATTAAAAAAGAATGATTTTGTATACGTTCTTATAAGATCAATTAGTAGACCTTTTCATTCAAAAAATCATTTATTTTGATTTTAACTTTCTTCTTTTCTCTATAATCTCTACTTAGTCTAATTTCCACAAATTTAAGATGAATAAATGTTTCCCGAGAGAAATTATGTCCTAGTAACTAAATTTGGAGTAAAAACGCCATACCACAATTCGAGCATGTTTAATATTGTTATTGTTCAACGTCCGTTCTAGAAAATAATAAACGAGATGAAATTAAAGCCTTTGTTCTCGAAAAGCTCCATAAACTTGTTTTGTGTGGGCTTTAATCGTTAAATAATCATGCGGAGAAAGGTTTAAATCTAGTACCCATTATGTACATAATTTAATTTGTAATTTAAGATCCTGTGGGATAGAAAAAAACGTACATATTGCATTTTGATGATGACTAAATAATGCAATCGAAACACCAGGATGAGAAAATTGGGTTTCTATTTTACGAGGCGATTTCTAAAGTGGTGACAATTCACGAAGTTCATAATTTTATTATTTGTCAACATCTCCGTCACCTAAAAATTGATTATTAAAAATGAAGGCAATATGATCATAGATCACATAGTAACATGGATTAAAAATATTTTTTTTTTTTTTGTTTTATCTGAGTGTTTAATTTTAGTTTGTGGTAATACTGTTTTGGTAATTTCATACTACAGAACTGTAGTTTAAGTTACTATATAGCAACAAAAAAAATATCACGTACAATACCTTAAATATCAAGAACTTGGTGATAAAATATATAAAACCTACCGCAGCAATAGCTCTTAAGATTAGAAAAATATGGTTTACAAAAATCTGGTTTTAAAAGGTATTTACAATATTTCAGGATGTTCGATTTCTTTTGAGATTAATATTTATAGTTTTGTAAATGTACTTACCAAAATATACACAAAATTAATTAGGAATTCAAAAAATATAACAAATTAAAGTTTATATACACACAAATCGAAGCACAAAAACGCTAAATAAATGCAACAAGTACAAATAAGTAACACTACGCTACTGAATTTAACTTGTATGAGCGGTGATGAGCGGCAGGCGGCTTCGATCACGTTTAAATCTGTCTGACCACGCCTACAAACTCAAATTTGTTTCTGCACATTATGACGAAGTGTGTTCTTTACAAAAAAATCGAGTTCTACTTACAGTTAAAATATTTTCTGTAGTCGGTCGTCAGAACAACGTACTACTCTGCTTTTCTTAATCTCCAGAATTTCACGTTTAATGGACAAATATGCAACATTATGTTTTATAATATATACGAGAGATATGAGGTGTGTTAACATGAATTTTTTCACCGAATCTTAATTAAATTCGTTTTTAAAACTAATTGGTATTTTTAGAAAAATAATTATTGTAATTGAAAATAATAGTAATCGATTTTAACTGAAAGTAATCGATTATTGTTGAAAGTATTCGGTTATAATTGAAAGTAATCGATTATAATTGAGAAGAATCGATTATAATTGAAAGTAAGTAATCGGTTGTAATAGAAAATAATCGGTTATAATTGAAAGTAATCGATTATAATTGAATGTATTTAAGTAGTTTTAATTATAGAGAGATATATAATCAGATGTAGTTTAGATATATTGAAAGTAATGGAATATAATTGGAAGTAATTAAAAGAAATTAATTGGAAGTAATCGAATGTAATTGAAACTAATCAAAGTAACTGAATGTAATCAAAAGTAATTGAAAACATTTTTTAATTGAATATAATTATTCAATTAGATGTGTATACTAAATTGACAAGAGTCATATTCCTCGATCAGATCAGATAATACTATAAATTTTATTTTAAAAATATGAAACATGTCATCGATTATACCGCATACGCGTCCTATTTTTTTTATTTTTTTAACGTAACGTTTATTGTTTCAGATGCTCCGATCCACCTCCTACAATGGTTTCGGAGAAGCGCTTACCAGCCAGCCGAGGTCATCACGAGGAGGTAACCCTACCTCCAGTGGAATGGACCTCAGCTACGTCACAGAACGGATCATATCCATGTGGTTTCCATCGTCCGCTACGCCACATTCTTATAGACAAGGGCAACAACAGGCTGGTCACATGCTGAGGAACAAACATGGAGACAACTACATGGTAAGCATTTTCATATAGAAAAGATTACAATAAAAATGGTTCAACTACAATAATGACATTTTGTAATTCTCAAAAATTCATTTTTTAAAACGAACATTCAATTATTTAAAACACATATCATTGCAATTATTCTGTATTTCTTTTCATCCGTCGGTGTAGATATGAATCGTACCTGCCACTTCTGGCTCTTCTATTTGTTCTATTATAACTTTATATGGCTTATTAAAGATATATATTTTGGTGAGATGGAGTCCATGTTCGCTTGAAGCAATGGGAGCGTATCCAGCGCCCCCTGCCAGAAGTGACGTCCCGCCTCACCAGATCCTTCATTAAAGGGAGTGAGACTAAGAATGACTTCCATGACTTTGGTCGGTGGTATCATTAGCATCTTCAGCATCTCATACTTTCTATTACACTTTACTATTTTATCTTAGAGTTTTTGTTTTTTATGACCATTTTCGTTTATTGCTATCCCTAAATATATGTATTCTTTGATCCTTTCAAAAGTATGTCCTTACTTATTACTATAGTGTTCCTGATACAATCAATTAAAGTTTTCCTTGAAACCAAAACATAAATTTATAAACGTTTATTGAAACAGGTTTTTAATCTATCGGAACCAAAGAGGTCATTGCGGAACGAACATAAGCATGTCAAAGAAGTTGGTTGGGCAGCCAGCTTAGCTCCTCCATTGGAAAGGTTATGTAGCATCTGTAAGGAAATTGATTCGTGGCTATCTGGAGACCAACATCGGATTGCGGTACTACATGCAAGGTAAAAACAGTATAATCCATCTAGAGTCACTGTTTCAACTTGTTATTTTTGGTTTTAGGGGTGATAAAGACAAACTAGGAGTGATTGTGGCAGCTTATATGCATTATTCAAGCATTTGCGGTAGCGCTGAACAAGCTTTGGATAGGTTCTCCATGCGGAAATTTTTAGAAGACACCGTTGGACCACTTGCCCTGCCATCTAATAAAAGGTAAAGCGTATTGAATAGTTTAGCAACTGCAGCTTTATAACATTTTGTACTTTTTATTTATGAAACTATTTATTTTTTTAGATATATTGAGTACTTTGCTGGCCTCCTCTCTCACAACATCAAAGTTAACGCGGCGCCCATGTATCTTACACACGTTACTGTCCTGGGAGCGCCAGTATTCCAACATGGCGGTTGTAAAGCCTTTCTAAAACTTTATGAAGGACACACGCCAGTTTATACTTCAGGTAAGCTAAAAAAATGTTTATATATTATATTTTTTAAAAATATGACAAATATAGGTCGTTACAAGAGAAGAAAAGAAAAGAAAAGACGTTTGCCAACTTCATGCAGAAATGTTTTTAAAACCTTTAAAATAGTAATTTAAACTGTAATTAATTCCATTTCATCCAATAACTTTATAGGAAGTTGGCAAATATTTTGACAGCTGTCTGTCAGACATCAAACCACCAAGGTTCACATAAGAGGAACTCGTCTTCATCTATCTCACGTGCTGTGGATTCCAAGTCCCCTATTTTCATTGGTGCGTCAGTTTCTTGTTCTGTAGCCCTACTTTCTTGTGGTTCTACGACCAAGGACTGATTCTCCTCTGGTATGTTTTCTGCTACCTCGGTAGGCGTTTTTTTTTTCCTGAGAAGTTTCAGGAGCAGCAGGAGTAGCCCGTTCCGTCTTTCCTTCAATTTCTTTTATCGAGATATTGGAGAAATTCAGGAACTTCTCTGCTTCTCTTTTATCATCTCCCAAGAGACGGAATCCATGGTTATGAAAAGTTGCTGTCCCCTAGGGTCCAACTTCCTTCCAGTAACCCTCCAGTTCCCCGTTTGGAGCCCCGAATTTTGGATTCTCAGTCTCTTCATTATTCTTTCCGGTTCCACTGCGGTATCCGGTATCCATACCATGGTAAACTTGGGTTTCATTACTTCCCCAGAGTTTAGCACCATCCCAAGGTACCATACTTTTGACGGTCTGCTCAACCCAATCTCTCGTTGCTTGATCAACGCAAGAAAGGTTTATTTTCCCGTTTTTTATCCTAGCTTCGGAGAACCTGGGTGAAGTCCTCCTTCGTCTACCCCAATATTGCTTACCTTAGAGGCGTAAGAACCCGATGCTACCGGCTCGGTCCCATCCGCCTCACATTTGATGTGGTACCAGTTGATCCCGAACCCAAAGCTCTCGCACCCTGAGCCCTCTTAGTTTTTCCTTTTTCCGGCGTGCTGGTATCTGTTTCTACTGCTCTGATTTCTGAGGATTTTAATGAATCTGCATAGACAATGTGATGAATGAAAAATAGATTTATTTTTTTGTAAATTTCAAGAATGTAGATTGCCAAGAGGAATTTTTAAGGGGGAGGATAACTGAAATTGTTGATTGAAATTACTAAATCTTTATTAAATAATGATATTAAAAAGTTTTAAATGTATTTAATTTTTATAATAGCCGAAAGCGTTTGACGAATAAATAAGAAAAGACGAATTTTACGCACTGGAAAAGTACCTCTCTTCATTCCTTTGTTTTCTTCATTGTGTTGTTAGGTTATTACACATGATATTCCTCTGAAAGATGCAAATTAATGAACATATTTCTCCTGCAATTTGTGAAAGCAAAAGTTATCCATCCCAATCTCGATCATTTCGGTTTCCCAGCGACCCGTGACTGGCAGCACGCGTTCGCTTTGGCACTACATGCACGGTGCTGGTTCACGACACACAACGATTTTCCATACCGATAAGCTCGAATAATGTGTTGGAAGTTCGTTGCAAATGTCAGCAAGTTTCTGTTAGTGCGTTTAATTTTGCTAAACTGGCTATTTAATGGTATTAATTATTAGTCAAACGTTGCGCCGCTGTCGTACGTGTTTCAGGGATTTTAAGTTCAATACAATAATTTAAAAAAGTATAATACAGTTTACAGTTTACTATTTATAGTAAATATTACAGAAAATAATCTACTTTTATGGATATAAATACTCATTAAGGGATTAACTAATTTTTAACCAATTGCGGTAAATTATTATCTTTAAAATGTCATTAAAAAGTTTTAAAGAAAGTGGGATATTTTTAGAAGATAATTTAATGTTGTATTGAATAACTATTAATATAAATTAATCTTATACAGTGGAAATTTGGAGAATAGTTTTTAAATTTGATGGATTTAAGGTTAACTCCTGCATTTTTATAACGTCTGAATGTATCTTAGGTGGTAAGAGATGATCAATTTCGGATGCTTCAACTTTGTCCATTTCGGATGCCGCAACTTAGTCCAGTTCGGGGGCTGCCATTTGATCAGTTTCGAGCTGCAATGATTTCCATCGTTCCAAAGATAGTTGGTCAAAATTTTCTTCAGGAATTATATATTTATTAAACGGAAAGATGCCGCTTTACTGAATCTATTTTTAATAATGTCCGTATCGAAGTTTTTTCATAGTTCTCATATTTTTATCGTCATTGATCGTTTAAAAATTTGCTGCTTTTACAAAGGAATGTTCAAAATAATAATTTAGGAATACAGAAGACTCCATCCAGCCATTTTGAGTAGCGGCAAATGTTGAATCGAGAAATCCTTTATCTTCGTTAGGAACCCATTGGTTCCAAACGTTTTTTCCTTTGAAAATAAACAATGGAGGACACTTGTCTCCAGTTGCACTACAAGCCAGTAGGACAGTGGTGTTTCTCTGCCAGGGCCACTAACAGTTCTTGTAGCAGGCAGTCCTTTTCCTCCTACTATTTTAGTTTTAGACGGATCGTGACTAAATGTCGATTCATCAAGGTTCCAAATATTTTTTGATTCAATATTGAGTTCTTCCAAAGTTAGTTTAAGTTGGTCAAAATAATTGAATATGACAAAAGGATCTTGAGCTTTTTTTCGGGCAACTTCCACATTTTGCGGTTTTTTAATGCTTAAGCGTTGTCTTTTTTTTTAAACCTGACCACCACTCTTCTCTAGGAAAGTTATTCTTGAACAGGTTTGGGATCTTTTCTTTAATTATGAAATCGCTCACCAGTTGTAAAACGTTTTTCTTTGACTAGCCGTAGCCGTATTTTTTCCATTAGTTTAATGAGTCTACCCAATTGATCTTCAGTTTCTGAAGATAAAGCTGTCGGTCTCCCAAATGTTTTTGACTTCACACCCCTTCTGTTTTTAACATAGTCAGTTATGGTAGCTTTTGGAACAGAATATCTTTCTGAAGCCTCTTTCAATGTTAGTCTTTTAGATTTTACGCCATCAACTGCATTTTGGAGGTCTTGAGGGGTATAACTTTGACCTTTATTCGTTTTTCTTTTGTAATTTCACGTCATTTTGGCTCTAAAAATCAAAACAAAAGCATCTTTATAAAATAATTTAAAAAAAAGTGCCAAAATTAGACAAAGAAGGAAGTGCATACGCGTCTGCACTTTCCCCATGGTGTAAAAGCGCACTTGCCTCCTAACCTATTTTGGAGGGGAAAGAACATATTTGCTAATTTTATGCCTAATATGATTAAACATTGATGTTGGTTTCGTCAACAATAAATTGGAGAAATTCATCCGTTACAAGCAATTTGAAAAAACTGATTGGCGTATTTTCAGCAGCAGCAATAAGTAAACTTTCTTGTTTAGTGGAAGGAAACAATTGCATTTTTCTTGGTTCTTCTTTCCATTGAACATCAGGATCATTTACGGATTCGGGTGCTGGTTCTTCATCTTCATCATCGATAGCATCTAAATCTTCACTTTCTACAACCTCTATATTCTGGTCGACACTACCATCACTCTCCGATGCGTATTGGTCCGCAGGATACCAGCCATCGTCTTCCGATTCCATTTCACTAAATTCATCTTCACTATCTTCCAATATTTTTAACAGTTCCGCTTCAGTAAATGTCTTAAACCTTAACCAAAAAAAATCTCGAAAAAATTGTGTGAACCGCGCGCGAAAATATTTTGAGAAATTCTTTAGCCAGGTGCCGGCAGAGACTTGTTAGCGTACGTGCCGAACAGAATATCTTACTACGCATTTACCAACAGGTAGTCGTGGGCGCTTTAAAGCGCCAGCGGTACTCATGCGCAGGTAACGCGGACGCTTTAAAGCGTCCTCTGGCAGTGAACATGCATTCTCGCAAATTGAAATCGGTTCCTCCGATGGTCTGCGGTCAAGCGCGGTCTTCTAGCTGGGATCCGTGAGGTTAGGTTCTATTCCCTTAAGCGTCTTCTTATGGTATTTGAGCTTACTTGTATTCCATAGGTCCTTCTAACTACATTTTGCAGCTCAAGAGCTGTTAATGTACGGTTTCGAAGGATTTGTTGGACCATATAGCGATCCTGGATGGCATTGGTGACGCGTCTACGACCCTGACCTGGTCTTCTTTGATGATCCCCATTTTCTCTATATCTTCTTAAAACATACGAAATTGCAGATTGGGTCACACCAAGCCTTTTGACTGCGACCTTCCACCATTAATGTTACCGCCCTAACACAATTTTCTAGCGATAATGAGTGTCTAACCCAAGCATGCACATTCATTTTCAAGTTCGAAGGAAAAATAATGAAAACAAAATCAATGTTTAACCATTTAAGTTAAAATTTACACTGACCTGAAAAGTATCCAAACTGATAAATTTTTATTATACATAAACAAACTGCGATATGGAACTCGAAATAAAGTTAAGATAAAAAACATGTTTATACATTAATAAAAAAAGTGGATTCATCTGCAAAAATTTAGCTACAGAAATTTTATTTTGAATTTTTTAGGTGATATAATAATTTTGGCAGGCAGTGTACAACACTGTAACTTGGATTAACGTTTTATTTTTACCTTTCAGGTGTGTACTCGATTTCGAACGGAATAAGCCAATTTACCGTCAACGTTACCGGTGATGGTAGAAGGGGCTTGCAACTAAGAGGCGATATCCTCATCAAATGCTATCATCGAGGCGAAATGGGGAGAGAAACGATCTTCTCCTGTCAATTTCACACGTGTGCTGTTTCCGACCACACGTTGAGTTTTACCAGACAGGAGTTGGATATCGCCTGCAATGGTAAGTTTTTTATGTAAGCACGTAAGAACTTTTGTTGAAAGAAAAACTAAGAAGTTTTTTTTCCTAAAAACGTACACTTCCTAAACTGTATTAGCTCTATAGAATCTATTTGTATTAAAATCATAATATAAATAAAAACCAAGGGATTTACAGAAAAATGGACATTAAAAAAGATTAACAAACGCTGGACTAGAGAGTACTAGAGGTACATTATCTTCCAACCGCCGTTATTGAGAACTGTCTTATCCTGAATTGTTTTAAATTTGTTGGAAAACAAAGTTTAATATTTATAACAACTAATTTGTTATTTTTTAATTTTCAGACCATCGATTTCCATTGGACGGTGCGGTCGAGCTTCATTTCTCACCTGGTCCAGAAGGGAGACATCCTGCACCAGCACCAACGCCCGCTGTTCCTTTCACCCATACCGATGATCCCATTACTAGAGCTGACAGCCCATTAATTCTAGAGGAGTACGACGATTCAGAAGAATATGATGACGGTAAGTTAATAATAATTCTATATTTTGTTTGTTTAAATTGATTCCCTGTCAAAGACATTTGGAAGTTGTTACTGACAAAAATCGATATCACATCGGTCGAGAAAAATCTTCTAACCCTACAGTTAAACGAACGCACCTCGTACAGCGATGAAATTGGCGCTTCGTAAGTAATTAATTACTTAAAGGTAAGGTTATAATACATAATATATAAATAAATTCGCAACGAGACTGTCTATTTTTAGGAGAATTTAACACATTGAAACAAACCAGTTATTATTATTATTATTATTACAAAAACAGATATTATGAACAAAATACGATACCCCTGTCCAGTGATACGATTAATTAAATTACAATAATGATATCTGAAGACTAACAATTCATACAGCCAGTTTACGACAAAAATAATGGCTTTAAAAGCCTATCAACAATAAATTACGGTTTACCTTTTTTCCGTATATTTAATCTAGTTGATTCGAATTTTTCTCTAATAATTTGAGCGGCTAAAAATGAACGTTACATCTTCATAGTTAATCTATGCCATATTTCCTTTATAGGGCTTTGTGTCTCATACAAATCTGAATAATAATAACAGAGATATTAACTAATGCCTTTTTGGTTTTGTCTTTTCGTTTACCTCGTATATTTTTCGTTTATCTACACTTGTTCACTTTTTCAAGTTTCAATTATCAACCCTTTACACGTGACGCCATCTGTCGGTGATTTTTGGTATAAGTGGGCCAGAATCCCTGTTGCTCATCTACTTTCATAAAATCAGTTACAACTAGGACATTTTGAGTTTATTCGGAATATATACATTCCACATGTTCATATTCTCAGATTATCTTCTTGTTTTTAATAAATATGATTAATTAGCTCATGACGGTGGCGCAGCCAGAATTTTGTATTTCGAAAAAAAATTAAGAGTAAGAAATATATTATTATTTTATATAATTGAACTTTTTCAATTTCAAAATCGTATGGGTTCGCATCTGGATCTGGGGGGGTTTTAATCCCTAACCCCTCTTGCTGCGCCACTGATTCATATGTAAAATTTGTGGATATGCAAACTAAAGTTTATTATTAACAAATTAAAGTTTGTATTTTATTTAGAAAAAGATATAAAATGTTAAAATGACCAAAAATTGACATGTATGGTTTTGGCATTGGCATCTAACGCAATCAAACCACAGATTTTACCCTGTAAAAACTAAAACGTGACGTTTACCTACAACTTAATCAGGTCTTTTCCTTGATATCTCAGAAGAAAAAAAAATATCCTCGAATGCCTCCGAGTCGGATGCAAATGCACACCTGTTTTTATAATTCTTACCTCGGGGACATAGAATGTGTTGCTGACAATTGGAAAATGTCGATTTTTATAGTTTTCTTATTGTTGCCATCATCGTATGGTGTAAGATTTAACAAGCGGTTAGCAGTTCAATCAAAAATCGCCGAAGGCCTATACTAGTGATTCGATTGCAATACTAGGTATATATGAGATTTTATTAGAAAGGTTAATAGAAATATGGGAAAAATGTATACGGGATGACTCAAAAAGTTATCCAGAAAATTATTAGGATACGCACAAATAAATTTTTAATATTTTGTATGTTTGGAATCAATAACGTCACAATCCATGGTCCATGTAATACTTCAAAATTTATATTTTTAAATAATTATAACCTTCAATCTTATTATTAAATATTGACAATAGATATAAGCTATCAGATAATTTTTAGATAATTTATACAGAGCTTCCCAATTTTTATATTCCAGGCTGTTATAATAATTATCAGAATCAAATAAAATTTAGATGGGATCAATAACGAAATGTGGACTAGCTTAAATAAACAAATAAAATATTTTATCAGGTGCGGGTATACAGGGGGGAGGAGTAATGGGGATAAATTACCACACAAGAATTTTTAATACTAACTTAAATGCTTTATTATCAAAAATAAAGTCTTATATATTACCACTACCCCCCAGACTGTATTACCACTAACCTCCCCCCAGTTTTAAACTCTGGATACGCCACTGACTATTATAGACTTACATTTAAGCAGTTTTTTACCTTTTTTTTTTCTTGAGCATTTTATATTTTTCCGCGTTCCTAAATATATACCGTTCGCTCAACGCTAACGTTATCTGTGACTGTCTTTCGTGCAATATTTTTAGTACAAACATTCGTTGACTTGGTCGTCCGTTTTAACTTGCAGGTTCGCGTCTTAACTACAAAATAAATCCCGCTACTTTTTTTTGTTTAAAACTATTATTACGCAATCCGGCGGGACCGGATGTTCTGGCAATAATCCTAATTTACCATAAAGATCTGAAAATAGATCAACTAATTCTCTTTCGAGATTTGAGAGAGTTACTCGCTTCGGTGTTTCATTATTTTATTTGGTTTTCGTCAATTCAGACTACCTTTCGAAATAGATGCGTTTAGCGGGATTAATTTAAATTTACTATTATTCTCTACAATAAAAATAAAAAAAATTACATGCATTCAAATGATTTGGTTTCTTCTTTACTATGAAATCGATTCGACATTGTCACAATCACTCTAAAATGTCAACTTCGTTATTACCTACATACTTTGATTACTATACGAGGCAAGAGAGAGGTCCGACACGCCCAACATAGGGCGCGGCCATTTTGATCCCTGTGACACAGTTTACAGCTAAAGAATCAGATCGCTCACTCTGCGTCGGCACTTTGGATCTCAATGTTTCAGTTTATACACTGTGCAACTCGGATAATACAATATATGACAACCGCCTATAATAAAACAGCAGTCTTCTGCGTATCCTGAATTTGTATCCCTGGAGTGGATGTTATTTTGAAACTTTCAACTGGTCCGAGTGAGCTAACTGATTCTTTAGCAATAAACTGTGACTCCAAAAATAATATTCACTGACACTGACAGCAGCAAGCAAAATATCAGGTGCGTTTTAATCATCCGCTTCTGCTTCCGGAATTGTCGGTTTAGTCGTTTTAACCTGTCAGATTAAAACAAGAAAACCGACAATTCCGAAGCAGAAGCGGATGATTGAAACGCACCTATTAAAAATATTGCGCCAAGATGTAGGCAACACGTAATAAGGGATCAAAATGGCGGAGTTTTCTATCTCCTTTTAAAAGGCACTCAGAAAGCTGCGCAGTGCGACCATTCTCCGTATAGTAAAAGAAAATCAAAGTATGTGTTATTACCAGAAGAACACCGACCTAATCAAAAATGGCACAACTGTGCGATGTTTTGAGGTAATACAACGCATGCGTATTACGAAATAACTGGAGAAAATCCGTCGAAAATTACATATATGCATCATTGGTTGCCTATATCAATTATCAGGACTTCGTTGCCTCGCCAGCCCGCTTATTGATTGCTTGCGTGTTGATTGTAATGATTATTAAGTGATTATCCCAGATCTAAGTATATACAACGCATGCGCATTACTTAATAAATTAAGAACAAAATTTGCTAGAGACAAAAACAGTAGATCTACGTGAAAACAGTAGGTCTGGCAACGCTGATTGTTCCCTCGAATGGTTATCCCTGTAAATGTCGCGCGACACTTCTCAAGCTTGCCAAATGTACGAAGCGTAACATTTATGCATCTGTCGTCCTACTCGACCTTGGGATCGCATCAGTGGTCGCTTGTCTCTTGACGCGCCTACCCAAATGGTACCTTTAAGTTAGTATAATGTACTAATCATGAAAATGTATAATTTATTTTTCGTGCAACCTTATAATTGGGCATTTATTTGCTTGTTAGATTGCCAAATTTATAAATAAATAAGGTACACTTAACAAAAAATTATCTCAGAATATAATCAATTCTATAAAAAACCTCCAACATATTTTTGATCTCTTAGGTATTACTGTGTTTACACTGTGCAAGTGGAATTTTTCGATCATTGTATCACGATTCTGAAATGCAGATGGCGATGGACGTTGCCAATTTTTCGCGATAAGTAAACATTAGTCGAAATTGTAAACGATTTGTTTGATTAGAATATTGATATGTGCGAATTTCGAGGTCAAATAAGCTGCCAGATATAAATTTTACTAAGGATTTATGTGAATTGCCATTGCACACACTGGTTTACATACATCTTTACATAAATATACACCTATTGAAAATTTTTCATTTGCTATTTCTCTTGATATTACGAGTACCATCGAAACATCGATTATAAACTGCTCTGTAATCTTCTGTATCTGTAACGTGTGGAGGGTGGAATACCCCACGGCACTTAGGCCTCATTAGGTCCATTGTGCATCCTCCTGAGATGATAAGCACCTCCTAGCTCGTGAGCCAGCCTACAGATTTAATGTAGTTAACAACGTCGCCAAAAGGTGCTTCTCTAATAAATGAGAGCGTCGAGCAATCGTAAAAGATATGCTTGATGGTCTCATCTTCTTGTTCGTACCCTCTGCAGAGTGCGGATTCTGACAGCCCCATGATATGGAGATGCTTTCGTACTTGGCAATGACCAGTCAGAATGCCTGTGACTAGGCGCAGATTCTGTCTAGTCATAGTCAAGTATTTGTTTCCTACAGTGTTGTCAGGATAACTTAAGAGCTACCTGGCAACTCTGCAGTTTCTTGTTTCATCCCATCTTTCCTTGAATTTCACAAGGGAATCTTCTTTGATTAGGTCTGTCACTACCGATTTTGTCAGGCCAATAGAAGGGCCAGGTCCAAAAAGTATTTGGTTGGCTGCTTTTTTGGCTAGTGAATCAGCAAGAGGGTTACCTTTCGATGTGGCATAACCTTTAATCCATCTTAAGGTGACCTAGTTGTTGATGGATACTTCGGCCAAAGCTTTGTGACATTCTAGTACTAACCCTGAATAAATTCGTGGTCTGTTCAGGGTGAGTAGTGCTTTTCTGCTATCTGTATAGATGAGCATGTTCCTTCCAGTGATATTCTTTCTGGTTATTTCTTTTGCTGTTATGATAATCCCCGTTAACTCTGAACTACACAGGCA